TTTTTTTTTTTTTTTTCGTTCCCCCCATTTATCACGCGGACGACGACACGGTGGACGGGGGGGTGAGAGAATCCTCGACCGCGATGTTTTACCCCCCTCCTCCCCCTCCTCTTCCCCGTTGTCCCTTCGACCCTTGATCCTTCTCCATTTCGATGTTGTATCCTCGCGATCCGTTATCTTTATCATTTTCTTTCGGCTTTTTCCTTTTTTCGAAAATTCGTGTCAAGAAGAAACTGGGGAGTGAATTTTTTGTGGAAATGAAAAGAGAAATATGATCGAATCTTCGTTCGGTTTTGATCTTTGTGTGGTGGATCTTTGAAATTGTTTGTGAGGATTTTTATTAGAATTTTAGAGGTGAAAAATAAATAGGGTAGAGAACATGGGAATAAATAAATAAATAGGGATAAAAATTCTAAGTGATGGATACTTTTTAAATTAGAATTTGATTTGATATAGATAAATAATTTTTGTAGTGTAAGATTTTTAATTGCAACATTTTAAAAAAAAATATAGGGTAGAGAATATTGGAGATAATAAATAGATAGATGTAGGGGTAACAATTGTAGATAAAATAATTCACGAGACTTTCTTAAATGTGGAAGAACAACGAACTCTCCGAATGATCGATACTTTCTAAAAGATAAATTAGAATTTAATTTAACATAGATAAGCGACATTAACAAAGTAAACATTTCATGCAGAACGTGTCTGCGATTGATTTTATTTGTAATTATTTGTATAAATTTTAATATCGATATCACGCCACTTGAACGAGTTCCAAAGCTTCCACCAAATTGAACTGATAGTTTCAGAATACATTCCGTTCGCGTATTAATTCTTAATACATCATTGACAGGAAATATATACCGATTCAAGTACACAAAAATTGAATCAAATTTTTCTCGTGAGCGAAGAATTTGATGTTTGATAAAGGATCCCCGTCTCCGTGGAATCAAAAAGAAACTGGAAATCATTTCTCCTATTAGACAGCCCGAGGGAACGTACAGGTTCACTCAGTTATTTACCCGATCTCATCACTCTGAGCTCGCGTCAGCCATTTCTGACGCACGGAATATGTCATCTATCTATTCCATCTCGAACATCTCCTGCTTCTCGCGATATCTCGATGCACGAATTTTATACCACCCAACAACTGTTTTCTTCTCAACTTGAAAAATCCTTCTTTCCTTCTCCGTTCATTCAATCACATTTTATTCGCTCTATCAACATCACTTTTCACAATTTTTTGACCAATTCTAATCCCTTTTAGGAGAAAATTATTCGAACGGGACTTATAAAACATAGATGCACAATCGTTCATCGTCTTTAAGAATACCTCATCTCGAGATGCTTCCTCGTTTTTAAATCTTTAAAGAAAGGAATTCGCACGTTGAAAAATAGTAATCAAATTACTTTGAATAATTCAGAAAAAAGAAAAATGTAACGTAATATATCTTATCTTGGTCGAATTTTCGACCACCTTCCCCCTCCCCACTCTCCATTTTTCCCCTTCTCGTCCCCGGCGCCGACTTGAACGGCGCTCGTTGTGATTAATTGGAACACATTGCACCTGGGAATCGCAGGTGTAATGAAAGATAATCGTTCCCGTCCGCTCGCCCTTTCGCCGCAGTTACATCGCCGTCGACACGAAACCTCGCGATCCCCCCCTTTATTAAAAGTATTGCAATCACCGTGGAAATAATAGCGACGCGACGAGACTTGGCCGCCACGGATGAGGATGGAGATCACGAGATTGTGATAGTTTTCTGATATTACGTTTCCGATATTAACGTTTAAACTTTGATTGGGAAACCGGGCGATTCCCTTGAAACCCTGATTAATAAGCTTTCGAAAGAGAAGTAAAATATAACGAGAGAGAGAGAGAAAGAGAGAGAGAAGAATTCGAAAGGGTTGGGTAATATTAATAGAATTGTGTAATAGAATAATAGAATTTATTGAATATTTGGAAAAAAAAATTGATCTTGAAAGGAAGAGATCTGTCTGTGTTTCTCATTCTTTTAGAATGATTATTATACATAAATGACGTGATCGTCAGATAGATTATATTTTTATGCTGCGTGTTTAGTTTAGCGCATTGCTCTCGTGCTAGAATTGTAAAAAAAAAAGCGAGGGAAAAAGTATCGCTGTTAAAATTCATAAAGAAAATAGAGGTTTTAATTCGGTGAGGTTACAACATTTTAAAATTTAAAATTTCATTATGGACGAGTCGCGGGCGATTTAAGTAATTTCGTTTTAATGGTTGATTTAAAGCGCTCGCGTCATAGGTGATACAGTGGAAAATGGTCGAGCAGTTATGTAGTATTTTGAAAATGGGCTTGGAAATGAGGAGCGCGGTTACGCGGGAGGAAGATATATTCGGCAATCGTTGCGAGATTTTCTTACGCCCAATCCTTTTGATAGTCGAAATTTGATATTTTCTTTTTTTAGAGAGAAAAATTGTGAGTATTTTTAATTTTTTTGGAGAATTCGTACTTGTACACTCTTTGAATCGTATCCCTTTCTAATCATTATTAATGGAAGTATCAAAGGTTCAAACTCGAATCAATAGTGACGACATAAAGATAAATTAACCTATCCAGTCTTATTTAACTTAACATTATTTAACATTAAAACGATTATTCACCATGTGAAAATTATAGAAGATACGTTCTATCAATAATATAATATAACAATTGATTCTAGGACATCAACATGATGCAGAATATAGAATTCAAAAGGGCCTTTAATACCCATCAATTTCCCAAGAATACGTGAATCATTTCAAAATTTAAATTCGAAAGCAACTCCAATGAAATCAGAAAGAATCATGGCGCAAAGCATAGAATCTAAAAACTTACGAGTTCCCTCTTCCTAATTTCCTAATTCATCGATATATACGAGAAATTCTTTAAAAATTGCTCTCCTTTCCTAGTGAATAACTAATGCGCGCCGATCCCCAACTTGCCAAAAAAATTAATTCGCACCATCGTCGAGAGGAAATGGAATCAACGTGATCTTGGACGAGAAGAGTGTATTGGGGATTCTTGGAGAGGAGGGTGGGTCGCGTGGATTAAAACACGGAGCATATTGTTGCGGTGGGCGCAATTGACAGTAACGAGGGATACGAAGTTGACTTTATCGCGGATGGAGTAATACGCGGATTAGGAAGACCGCTAATACTGGCGGCGTGGAATTTCAACGCGTTTCGGTTTACACGGGGGCCCGTGTCTCCCTCTCTTTGAGGCGACGTGTCGTGAAACGTAATTAAACTGCCGCGAGCATGGCGTAAAAGGCAGTGGCACTCACCTCAATCTGCTGTGCTCCGAATGCGGCGACTCCTCGGGCGATTTGTAACTGTTACCGGTCTGAAAAGGAGAAAGGGCCTTGTTAGGAACAATCTCTTCGATCGTGGAAAAATTGAAAATTAATTAGGAGGTAATGCTTCCCTCTTTGATTTTTAGAACAGAAAACTATCGAAGATAGAAGAAAAGAAGAGAGGGCCTTGTTAGGAACAGGCTTCGATTGAAAAGAAAAATTGAAAATTAATTGTTAACAATAATCTATTTTCTTTTTTTTTTTTTTGGTTTGAGAATAGAAAAAAAATCTGGAATAATTGGAGGAATAAAGAGAAAGGATTTTATTAGAAACAATTTTTTCAATTGTGGAAAAATTGAAAATTAATTAGGAGATAATGCTTCCCTCTTTGATTTTTAGAATAGAAAACTATAAAAGATAGAAGAGAAGAAGAGAGGGCCTTGTTAGGAACAGGCTTCGATTGAAAGAAAAAATTGAAAATTAATTGTTAACAATAATCTATCTTTTTTCTTTTTTTGGTTTGAAAATAGAAAAAAAAATCTAGAATAATTGGAGGAATAGTGATATGGAGGAAAAGGAGAAAGAGCCTTGTTAGACAATCTCTTCGATCAGTGGAAAAATTGAAAATTAGGAGATAATAATCCTTTCTTTTTTGATTTTTGAGAATAGAAGAATATCGATTAAGGACTTTGTTAGGAACAATTTTCGATTATGGAAAAATTGAAAATTAATTAAAAGATAATTATTTACCCTTGTTTAAGGTTCGAGGAAAATATTGAATTAGAGATTATTGAAAATGATACGAAGGAAGAGGAGAAAGAAGAAATCTTGTTAGAAATTAGGAGACAATAATTCCTTCTTCTTTGATTTTGAGAATAGAAGAGTATCGAGTTAGAAGAAAAGAAGAGTCTTGTTAGAAAAAGTTTCGATGGAAAAATTGAAAAATAATTGGAGACAATAATCTGCTCCCTTTTGGTTTTGAATAGAAGAATATCGAGTTGACATTAATTGAAAATTGGAATAGCGATACAAAGGAAAAGGAGAAAGAACCTCTTCGATTGTAGAAAAATTTAAAATTAATTGAATAGATAACAATCTATCCTCTTTTCCTTTCGAGAAAACTGCGCATATATAATAAATCAGATTAGTTAAATGGAGAAAAATAATAATTCTAATTTAGAAACGGAGAAGTTTAAAGCTATGGTAGGTAAATGCTCCTTCTCGCCACAATCATCGTATTCTACTTGTTGAATTGGAACTTTCCGCTCCCTGTATACTATTACTTGGACAACTGAGATTTTCCGATAGTTTATCAATACCATTCTTGCTCGTTCGAATGGAATATTATTCGTTTCTTAAAATATATCTTTACCTTTTTGCAATAATATTCTCGACGATAATTAATTGAAACAAACTCGCGTCTATAAAATATAACTTAACAAAATCCACAATAATTAACCGATCTATATATAATTCTTTTCGATCGATCAAGAAATCTCGCGAATCTCTGGAAAAACCCTTGAACGATAATTCCATCCTTCGAAATTCTGTTCTCGCAGTTAAAAATTACCGAATTCATAAAGTTTTTCAATATTCAACGATTCTCACTCCCGACGGTTATTTCCCGCAATAGAATCAGTCATCGCACATGCGACGGCACCCAACAACCAGCCAGCCGGTTTAATTTCGTCGAAACGATTCCGTCGACGATTTGGCGCGGATTCCTGTTTCGTGGCACGCGAAATAACATTCGCCTAGCTGGCCGAGCGTACCTCCACGGTACCTTGAGGTCGCCTCGAAATCGCGGCGATAAATTCGTTCTCCGCGGCCGCCATCGACCGGCAATAAAGCCAGCCGCAAAGAAGGACCATCGATATAAATTTTCGACTTTCTCCCTCGATATTTCCATACCGATATTCCCGCGAATATTCCCGGATTCATAGTTGACCCAGCAACGAAATCGTGGATTTCTCGCGCGGTCCAAAAGGCGGTTCGAAATCCAGGAGAACGGGTGTGATATACGATTGGGTAACGAGGATTTATGTCGATTAAAGGAAGAAAAGAGAGGGAGGGAAAAAGAAGAGGAAGGAGGGAGAAAAAGGAATACGAAATAGGAGGGAGGTGACTGGTGGGATGGGCTAACAGGTTTCCATCGATTCCCTCTCCCTTCCGTAAATTTCTTCGTTAGAGCTCGCCACGATTCGACGTTTGCACGGAGAGCAAACAGCGAGTCGCGCGCGTTATCGACGATGCAATTATATCGTCGATCGACGTGGGCTTCCACACCAGTTATTAGCGGAATGATACAATTATCTCGGAAGCGATTAGTCGACTC